AAAAATAGAATTAAAAATTAATAATTAATTATAGTCTCAACAGTCGCTAAAATATGGGACTTCTCAGTCCGGCAGAAATATAATTCTACATTCTTTTTTTAAAACTCGTATCATGTTAATACTATTTAAGCGGCGGACCCGCAATTTGGCGTGAAGTATATGTTATACGACAGGTGAAATATGAATGATATAGCTACAATATTTTTAATTATTAAATAGTGTACTTGTTTTCTCTAGGCCACCCGATACAGAATATAGTACTGTATTGAGACAAGATAGAGGCTGGGTATTTTTTTTCCTAACAATATTTATTCAATCAATATTTACATAATCTAAAGATACAATATTTAATTATGGGATCTGAAAAAAAGTCGGAGTTATAAATTCATTTCCCGTAATAAATTATTTACAGATATATAAATACATTGTTTATAATTGTAATTATGAATTGCATACGGTTACAATTAAATTACAAAAGCAAAAATATTTAATCTCGCTTAATAAAAAAGTTATCTTGGCTATTGTACACAAAATACTTAATATACCGAGGTTAATATACCGAAAGTAATGTACAGAGGCTGGTTATTCAGATAGTCCCTACCTTAGAGGTTTTTTTTATTATCTCGACTATAAAATCGATAATGAATACGATGAAAAAAAAAAGTAACTAAAAGAGAGCGAGTAGAGTTGGCTTTAATATTAAAGCAAAAATCAATAAACCTTATATAGTCATCACCTCTACGCTATACTCTGAGGTCACACATATTAAAATTTTGCTTTTTGAGGAAAAACAATGAAATGAAATGGGTTTATCGTCCTGATTTTCGGCACCGACTGGGCTATTGAAGAGGGGTATAAGCCATGCAGTGTGCTATGAGATATATTTTGTCCAGATAGCGACGCTATGGCCTAAAGTTATTTCGAATTTCAACTGCCAATGGTTCTTTTACATGCCCTTCAATGTTTACACTGAACCTCGGTTTTGTGCCCCTTCCGTACTACTATACGTTGTCCTCTGCCAGACCCTCTGTCCTGCACCACTGAAAATCCCGATGAACTTTCTTGGCAGCGATCGAACACGGGACGTCCAGGTTAGCTAGCCAATGTCTTTTGTTTTACTCGATACAAACAAAGAAAAGGTACTTTCGGTTACTCTTCTCAGGGGCTTTTAGTCCAAAATGTGAAAGAAAACAAAAATTCGCGAAACTATATAGTGGCGTTTTATTTAAATGTGTCGAGACCCCGAATAGTTGCAATATTGTAGAAGCGTATTGTCTTGTGTGGCTGGAGCAAAACGGAAGTAGTGGAACCATTTCTAGACCCATTAGAACTAACAATAAAATTGGTTTGGCCTTCCTTTCTAGGACAGATCGATAACAGATAGTTGGACGACCACACGGCTGTAAAACACCCGACAACTTCAGTGTTAGAAAAGGAAGTTACGATAAGAAGTTAATGCACCGACAAAAAAGAAGATAAAGTCAATGATTCACATGTCCTAATATTTTTTAGCCTTGGTTTAATTTTCGGGTTGGTACATGTCATTGATGATGATATTTTGCAACTGGCTCTGACAGTGTTAGTTAAAGAAGTCAATACAAGTAGTTAATACACCGACAATAAAAAAGGATAAAGTAGATGATTCACATGATTTGGTATCTTGATAATCGGGAGTGACTAATTTTGGGTTGGTAAATATCATTATCACGAATGTTGATGATAATATTTATCACTGGTTCTTACATTACTGTATGTAAATAAGCTGTGAAGCTACTGGCCAAAAAAATAGGATTTAACATTCTGAAGTTGAACCAGTTTATCCCAGAGAAAGTACAAACACATCCGTATCCCAATAGTACCCGGCCTTCATTCTCTGTGAAAGCGTAAAACACTAGACCAATAAGCAATCTTGAAACGAGTGGATTTCGTGTTTTCATTTAGCTAATTGGCGGACAGATCTATTTGAATCTTTCTCGACCAACACCGGGATCAAACACGGGAGATCCACGTTAGCGATCCAACGTCTTATAACTCACTAAGCAATGGAGGCCATTGCGACCAGAGTAATGAAATAGAATGCATGGTTGTTAAATCTTACTTTTTATGAATCCATTGACGTGTTGAGCTGTATTATTAGTTTTTACGTTCAAATATCCCGGAATGTTTTTTTTTGTTTTTATTCAGAGGAAATGGTGTGACCTTTAAACGATAATAGTTGTAGGCAGGTGACCTTTGTTACAAGCTGTCCTGACCTTTATACGAATAAGTAGGTCTATCCGAACATACCTGTAATACGTAACTTCATGTGGTAGACTCATACTAGACTTACGCTGTCTGTATACAATCAGCGCCACTTGAGAATAACGAAACCTTTGAAAAAAAAACCAACAAAAAAACATAAAACAAAGGACACCTTCCAAAGAGGCTTAAGGGGCCATATGTGGCACTGCTAGGAGTTTTACTCAGTATTAGAAAATGGGTGGCACATGTACATGTATACCGCGTACGAAACTATCGATCGGAAACTAAATGATATATCTGTATCACTGTATCCGAAGATAGCGTAGGCTACATCTGTCTTCAGAATGTGGTATACAGGTGTGAATAGTGCATATAGGTGAGGAATGGTGCACAGGCTTTGTTGTAAATCTAATACACTTGAAGTTCACGTAACATTGTTCCAGTTTCCTCCCACTGCTGAAGACCGCTACGCGCAAGCTAATTTTTGAAATAATATTGAACCATGTGTTAGTCCCGAAATGACCTAGTTTGTGTCGAGTGGACGTTAAACCCCCCTTCTCTCTCTCATAACATTGTACTTTTCTGCAAAGGTTGTATTTAACGGCTTCACACCCATAAATATATAGGACTATATATGAAGGTCATGGCCTACTGAGTATACCAGGAATATGCTCATAGATTAGAATCGTAAAGCTGTTTACATCTAAATATAACATTACTACGTCATTGCGATACGTCATTGTTTTGATATTGATCCCGCCAAATAAATACCAGACACAATATTAGGTCTACAACTGATGATGAAATCGATCTGACCTTGATCACGTTTAGCAAGGTTAAGTTTGTAAACAAATTCTTCTATTGGAATTTGCACGTTCGTAACCCGTATGAATGGCTTTACAAATTTACAGGTGCGCGTGGGTTTAAGAGGGTAATTCTATCTCCGCTGTAAAACCTCGGGGAATGAAATGCCGACACAGTAGTTGTTATTTCTATGGCATATGAGGTTTAATTTCTGGTCAATATAGACCCCCGCCCCCACTCTCACTCTCTCTCTCTCTCTCTTGTATTGCTACATTGTGTTTTCAAATATGACATCTGACTATTCTAACAATATTATCCGCTCTAGTACCCCCCCCCCCCTTCCTCTCACTCTCTCTTATATAAATTAATAACAATATTGCTACATTGCAGTGCAAATGCCAATATGGCTAGAAGAATTTGTTTACAAACTTAACCTTGCTAAATATGACGTCAAGAAGTCTGTTCAAAGAATTCTATCGGGTCTCTATTATAGTCTGCCTACTTTCAGGAATATTAGAAACCGTCTTATCTATATATTGATGTCTCGAAATAACTTCTTTTATCTTCACAAATTCATCAAAATTGTCATAAAGTATCTCTACTCCTGTCATATTAGCGTCCCGGTGTGATATTGACCGGGTATTATATTGGACCGGAATAAATCACGAGGGGGTTTGTGATATAATTTCAGAGATTTGTACAGTAATGACGTGGAATAAGAACGGTAATAGGATTCCTGTAATATCCTTATTATTATCAATCTATCGAACTTTCGACAAAAAAATTGTTAATAACCAACGCTGATAAATGATCATAACCACGTACAAGCGCCTGCTACGTTTCATCGCCAAAGGTTGCTCGGGGGCATTGCTGTTGTTCACAAACCAGTGTTGGTCAACAAATTTTCTTCATATTTTCCCCAGTAATTTCCCCCTTGTCAGCGGTGCAGAGCGGAAGCGTGGTCCAGAATATAAGCCATTGGAAGCACGTTAAAGATCCCCTAACAGTTACAGAATCGAAATGAAAGTAGGCCGTTTGGGGGAGAAGTGAAAGGCGTTAATTAATAATGAACTGCATTTAATTTCGCCACCAAAAAAGGAAATTGTTGTAATATGTACACGCGACATTCGAATGTTCTTATTCCTTTAGTAGTTTAGGTCACGATGAACTTGCCAGTTGCACTTAACACTCTCAAATTTTCACCTGTACAATTGTTCGTTTCCAAATCTTTAACCAAATATTTATAGCCATTATAGAGAAAAAAACCCAAACATCACTCGAGACACTGAGCAAATATGTTAAATCCGCCGAACAAATAGAAGAAAACTACTCTGGGTCGTTTTAAACTTTATAGTTTAAATGACGTTTTTGTTTGCCTTAATTCAACCCAAAATGTTATTTTAAAACAAGGATTGCACATTGGTCGAATTTTCATGAGGGATCAACAAATCTATCCTGTCGATAAATGTTACGGGGACGGTAGATAACTCTGACAAAATTCGCACCGTTAAGTAGAGTTATTCCCCTTCTATATTTATTTCTCAAAATTGTTAAAATTTAACAAAAAAACAAAAAAACACGTGGCGTGCGAATTCCACGCGTCCATTGATCGTCAAGAACAGCTTGTTATTGTCGATTAAATTTGACACAGATCTACGTCGATTTCGGGTGAGAACTTTTTATTGAAGTTATTAAGCGTGCCAGTCTCCACGGAAGTAACTAGAGTAGAAGTAGAAAGATAGAACTGATTTACTCAAATTTACTGATGCAATCCGTTTTTGTATCGGGGGTACTTGTAACTTACATGTATGTACTTAGTTACTACACAGAAAAAACAACCCGAATCTATGAATGAAAACAGACGAGTCCACTATTTGTATGAAGCTTATAAAGGCCTTATAAGGCAAGTTCATGCTCTTTCTTACTGTATAAATATAAGTAGAAAGCTCGTCACAATTTCCCGCGCGTTTGTCGAGTGCATTTTGAAAGTAGACACGGCCGGATAACGGTGAACTACGGTTGACCCATATCGACCATTGTTACGGGACTCTTTTAAGTCCTACGTACGGTATATAAACTTTTATCAATGGACAGTAGCTTACGAGTTTGCCTAGACAAACAGATTGGAAGAAAAAGGCTACGACGTCCACGTGGTTTGGTGTTGTTGACGCACTTTTACTTTGTTTCACATATGGTGTAGTTCTAGTTTAATAATCGAATTTGTCGTTGAAGAACTGTGTGAAATTGTGCTCCTATTTTAGAAGCTTGAATATTTGTTCAACATTCCAGATTTTCTAGACTTTCCAGATGCCGAAACAGAAGCAATCGTACGATGTTGTCAATGACAAGGACGGTATCCCTGCAGCTCCAAAACCCGATGAGCAGTCCGACTCCGAGGGCATATCATTAAAACCAAAAATAACATTATTAAATGGAATCACTGTTATTGTTGGAAGCATTATAGGGTCTGGGATATTCGTCAGCCCTAAAGGAGTTATTGAAAACTGTGGCAGTGTTGGCTTATCTCTTATAATTTGGTTGTTATCTGGACTGTATTCTATGGTTGGAGCCCATTGTTATTCTGAACTGGGTACAGCAATTGTCAAATCTGGGGCAGACTATGCCTATATTTTCGTAACTTTTGGACCAGTTTTAGCTTTTTTGCGGATATGGGTGGAGTGTGTTGTCGTACGTCCATGTACGTTAACGATTGTAGCTCTGACGTTTGCCTACTATGTTATTGAACCATTGTTTCCCGACTGTAGTCAGCCTGATGATGCTGTCAGAATATTAGCAGCATTATGTATCAGTAAGTGTTTTACAGTAAAAACTTATGTTGTATTCAAAAACTACAAGCCAAGCGCTTACTCTCTGAAACATGGAAACTCGCGAAGTTCCGGATCCTTAATTACAGTAAAAACTATTCAAACATGGCAGCCACGCGCTGAATAACCAACAGTAACATGGAAGTCTCTGGGTCGACCCCAGTTATAATTCCATAATTTAAGTATTCAAAGATGGAAGCTATAGTATCTTAGCAGTAAGGCGCTGGTTTGATAACCAATAGATCCTGTGGTCGACTCCAGTCTTTACAGCAAAAATTATTTTTGAATTTCCAACTGGGTTTCCCTTTGTCAGTGGTGCATGATATAGTGCCTGGCAAGGAAATGTGTATAGTCATTCATATGGGATGATAAACAAAGTTCACCTCTATACATGTCATGCCTTGGAAGTTGTAATTTGATGAAACACAAATTTCCATCCTGATCAATTACATGGCGAATCATACGACCTACCGGTACTGGTTGTTTCCCTCAAAGTACTAGAATGTTACACTCCATTTAATTTCAGTAATATATAATATATGTATCCATTATCTTGAAACAATTTACTGTTTACAGCTGAATAACCACAGTTTCTATGTCGATTCGGTTCAATAGAAACATTCAATGGGGTAGTTCACCTAATTTATTATTTCAGTAATACCATACCCGGTACCGGTTTATAATGTAATATTATATTGGGTCAGTAAAGCTTGAGTCTTATAAAATTAATACAGGTACTTGTAAAGTAACCCATATTTAAACTGTTTGACTAAAAAACAACGTATTGTTATGCCTAGGTCCCACTGGGCGTTTTTTGCCTCAGGGATTTACATGTATGAGCGTGGGGAACAGGTTCCACAGCGTTCAAGGGAAACTCCGGGGGCATAGCCAGCCACTGACATGGAACCATCGGCAGGCCTCGGGAGAACTGTGAAAAGCTAGCATTGTCGGGAAAACAGGCTCATCAAATTTCCATCAGTAGTACATCACCGAGGCAATGTTGGCATAGCATAGGGCCAGCGGCAATCAATGTAGCTTGCTCAGTACATGTATGAGCAACATCTTGTTGAATCTTTTAAAATGCCTGCTGCTAATTATATCCCAAAAGCAGGTACTCAAGTCAAGATTGAGAGATTTAATGATTAAGATTTGTTTAATGCCTATAAATATACATATAACCTAAAACAGGTTACATAAGAAAATAGTAATCCACATAAATAGCCTAATCTTGTGAGGAGAAAAATATGTAAAGTAACCCCTATTTAAACTGGTTTACTTCACAAAAACTATGTATGAGAAAATGAAAGGCTTAATGCCCTAATTTTGTGAATGAATTGAGTGTGCTATGATTAAGGAAATTTTTCTCTCTAAATATATGTTACCATGTAGAATCACATTTCAATTGCCAAGGGATACATGTACATGTAATTTATGTGCACGCCACTAGACGCTTCTCCGTCTTACACTGGACACTAACGAGGGAAAACCACCTAGGAAATCCAGAGGAACTTTGTGGTCCATCTGGTCTGAATGTACACATTTAATTTCAATGGTAACTTTTCAATATGGCCAGTGAAAGTGCCAATGTTGTACTGCTGTAGGGTAGGCCTGATCTCAGTTGGTTTGTGTGTCTTATGACTGGATTTGTTTTCTGTGGTGAACATTGAACTACCAGTTTATTTATTACCCAAAGCCAAGAGGTCATATTCTTAAACAGAACAAATTAAAGGAGCTAAATCGCTAATATTTGGGACCTAGAAATTGACACAAGTGGGTCGGTCACAACCCATATAATATTGTAATATGAATATTTACATTCAATTGTTTCCCGTTATACTCTAATTTGAAATCAGTTATGTTCGGTGAAATACGGCAGAAGTCTCAATCGAATGTCGATCTCTAAAGTCTGGTTATTCCAGTCTACACCGATAGTATTTATTGCACATGCTCTCCAGATAAGAATATGATGTCACCGTTTGACATGACTTGTGGAATATGTCTAACCTTGTTCTTCTGAATGCCTTGTTACAAATGGCTCTGTAATGCATTATGGTACACGATTCGTGTACCAATGGTAAAATGTTTATTTTGTCTTAAATAGTGTATATCAGAAGCCCATCTTGATATTGAGTTAAAGATGAGATAGTTAATGACATGAGAAAGTGACACCTGTAACATTTATTTCATTTATTGCATTACATGCTAGATATACTTTTTGTTTTTCCAAGATTGTTCGGGAATCTGGGGACATTTTCTCTCCACTTTTTAGGGAGTCCCCCTTCCCCCCTTTTATGGGTCATATTGATATTAAAACATATTGAATAATACCTGACAGCTCGGGGTGTACAGTATCATAAAATTTGCTCTGTCTGTTGGATATTTCCTGTGTATGTTATAGGCCTATGGGATGGACCATAGATGATGGCCAATTTTATTTGTGTCTGGGTCAATTAGTATTGTTGGTCTAACTTCCAATCCACAAGCGCAAACTATATGTACAAACTGACTCTCAACCATTTTGTCTAGTTGAAAAGTTTCTAGGCATTTGGAAGGACCGAGAAACTTGACTTTGATATTGATGAAGGAAGCGCCACTGTCACAACAAAATTTCTCTCATACATGTAGCACACTGCATGCAAAATGTCCGTCAATAGTAGCTGGGTTGGTCAAAAAAAGTAAGACAATTTAATCCCCATTCCATTTCATTTCTGGGCATTTTAAGTTTAGACAGATGCAAGCAATATCGGTCAAGAGTTATCTTAACCTACTTCTTAATCCAGCCTTGAATTTGAAAAGTAATTCTATTGTACCAGTATCTGAAAGAGCATTTCATAGCCTTGCATATCCAGTTCTATCTGGTCTTTAGACCTACATGTAATTTGAAGAGTAATTCTATGTACCAGTACCAGTAACTGGATGAACCAGTCCGAAAGCATTTCATAGCCTTACATATCCAGTTCTATCTGTTGTAATATTGACATGAGCTATTTATAACCCAGTATCAGATGAAAGGGGTGATAAGATTGGGAATAACAGATTAGATGACCAGGTGGGACAGGATTTCCTTTTCATCTTGTTTGTATCGTAAATCGTAATCTTTTTACTTTAGACGCACCTTTATTGTTTTTTTTTTATATCAGGGGGTATATTGATTTCTAGGGATATTTGGACTTTGAACACCCAATTCTTTTTATACATAAATTTATTAGACTGTTTTTAAAGGACTTTGCCCAGATTGCAAAATTAAAGCAAACTCATCATATATTTCAAACTGGCGCATTCTCATTTTCAACAGGGGCATACCAGTACAGGTTTCGCTATAGAAATGTTCTTTACCCTTACTTAAATATATATATATTGACATCAATCTGATATATTTCGTTTCGATGGCCTCCACTAAATGAAGATTTGACTAGTTATAGCGGGAGTTCATGCCAGGGTCATATGAGTGGCATTTGATTAATCAGTCAGCATTGATGTTTCTAGAGGGATGCCCACAGTTCGTGCACCATGTGCCAAGACCTCACTGTAACAGACCGTTTCATTGGCTAATCCCTCACATCATTAAGAACGCAGGGTATATGTATATACATGTAACTACTCTTCCAGATCCTAGTGTAGGAAAGACAAGTAAAACAAATTTTTGAACTATAAAAAAGGAAACGAAACAGGATCCATGTTTTAATCAGATTGATTTTGATATGTACATGCTATAAAAAGAATAAGACATCTCACCTTTCATCGTCACAAGGACTGAAATATTATATTGACGAGATATTTAAACATTCCTTTCTCAAAATTTTCTTAAATATTTATCCTTTGTAACTATATTTGTTTAGTAAGTAAGACATAATGGTCTATTTGATTTGGTGTAGATTGTATTCAACAACATGTTTAATGATATTCAGACTTGTAATAGACTGGATGGTTGTTAAACACCTGAATGACAGACTTCCCTATTCTCTGTATAAAACTCTTTCCTCATTTTCTTAAAGTGGCAATGAGCCTATGCAAGTCAGAATGATATGTTGTCAATAATCAGATGAGTCTTGTATTATAATAATTGTTGAATATAATTTAGAAATTTTAACAGATTAAAGATGTTATTTGAGGGATTGCCTTGTAAACTAAATAGGGGGGTTGGATGGCCGAATGGTTAGCATGTGCGTACTGTATCATAAGGTCTGTCATTGAGTCAACTGGCATGGTTTTGATTCCCCAGTTGTACGTGACAAGGAGTAGGGTCGCCCTCCGATTTCCTTCCACTGCTAATGACTCCTATTTGCAAGCGAATTGAAATAAAACTGAGCCATGTGTTAATCCCAAAATTACTTAGTTTGTGTCGAGTGGACGTTAAACCCCATTTCTCTCTCTTTGTAAACTAAATATTATGAAAGTTGAATGTTGTATTTGGTAACTGGTGGTTTTTAAGATTCAAGTTTGTAGTTGACCATAATGAAAATATAGTTTGTGTTATTTCTATGTGTAGTCCCAAAATGACCTAGTTTGTGTTGAGTCGATGGATTGTTTTCAGGGTCGGATTAAGGTGGTGGCTGACTGGGCTGCCATCAAGGGACCCGGTATAAAGGATCACCAAATTGTCAGTGCCAAATAAATCTATCCGCCAAATAAATCCCTTTCTACCATTACTGACATACAAATTGCATTTGTGTGAGTGTTGTGGACAATGACCAGAATATACACCCTTTTCACATTTGATACAATGTACAGCCAGGGGCCCCATGCAAGCTTAATCTGCCCCTGATTGCTTTTATCAACAAACAACAATATTGTTGCTTTAATATTAACCGGTAAAAGCCTCTTTATGTACATGTACAATAAATTACTCAAATCAATTATTTCACTCTTAATATAAGCGGGAACTGACCTTCTGACTTTGCTGTGATATTTAGAGGTCATGGGCTATTAGCAAGGTCCTATGTGTGGATGTGTCTATGTTTAAAATGAATCAATATGACTTACATGTATTTTAATATTAATGATAAATTACCATGGCTAGAGTCCTGTCACAGATATCGTCAGGCAAAAAATCAGGCTTTGATTTGGCACAATCCCCCTGGTGCCTGTCTGTTATTTTTTGTGCTCGAATTTATCTTTTTTTTACTAATGAATCAATATCAATTATTAAACATACAGTATCTGCCAATTGCAGGTCTTTCTTTAGGCCTGAAATGTTATCTAAATTATTAATTAGACATTAATTAACTTATCCAGACCATAATCATTTAATCAACTCTCGATATCATCATAGCCTACGATATTTACTGGATTAGAATCCGATCTGCTGCTGAATGCTCATTCATGATTAAATCATAAAATGGGTAATAGAGACTGTTTTTTATAGTACCGACTTTAGTAAAGATGATCAAGGCTAGCCCCAAAATTCAGTCGCTAAATTCTCGGTTCAGAGTGGATCAATTTGACTGAAATTTTTAGCAAATTCCCTTTACATTATCTAGTTTTTTAACTTATAGTGACAACTGCCAGCTCTTTATCTAATCACCCATAATGTATCTTTAATATTGTAATATAAATGATAATTTAAAGTGACAATAACACCCTTGCTGGCTTGACAGCCTTATTAGCCTTATTCTAAGTACTAGATGTGTTTGTGTCCTACCTGTTGTGTTAATTATCCATTAAATCCTATTTTACTTGTCCAAAGGGTTCAACAATATTTTTAAATCCAAGTCACATTTGAAAAGCTTTAAGTCAGGCTTTTCAAATCATTTAGTGGAATTTTTCCAATTTTTTAAATTAGGTGTGTTAAGATGAAATTTGTATCATCAATTAATTGGAATATTGTAAAATAGTACAATTTGTTGACCAGAATAAAGATTGGGACATATTATTCAGTTACAACAAGAGTGGTATTGAGCCTTTAACTTACATTACCAAGCCAGTCACAGACATTGTCAGTTTAAGGTACAAATTTAGGCTCTGTCATGGCACCGTTTGTCATGGCCATATTCTATATATTTCTTGTTCTTTAGTAATGAATCAATATGACTTATTTGTATTTTAATAATAATAATTACAGTTTCTCTGTTTTGAACTGTTTTTTCTGTGTCAGATTTGTTCACTAGTGACTGACAGTTTATCAAGTAGGCCAAGCACTAAAATCAATTATTTCCATGTCTGTTATAAATGACATAGATGTGTATGTAACATATGTTGTGGTTTTAAATGCTTTAAATTCATTTTACAGGCTTTAAGTTTATTTTGACCGAGGGCTTAATAAAATGAAAACAATATAATTTATGAGCTTGGTCAAAGTCCTTTCTGAGTTAGAAAACAGATTTAGAAAGAAGTAAAACTTCGCTGTGCTTAAACGGTTGAGACTCACAATACAAAATCAACTGATGCACATATTGTGTTAAATTATACATGTATAATAAATAGCTTGGGTTTTTCGAACTTAATCCCAACCACATTAGAAAACTGAAACATATCTGATACCACATACAAGTAAAATGAAGTTGGGTTTCATGGACTGGGCTAAAGAAGACGGGCATATGCCATGTGCAACATGCTATGAGGGAAATTTTGCCTGGACAGCAGTGATGTATATGTAGTCTACTCTTATTTCGAATTTCAACTGTCAAGGATTCTTATATGTGCATGCCAATGTGCACATGGGCCTTGGTTTTTCGTCCTATGAGAATGACTGTATGTTGTCCCTTGCCAGACCCTCTGTCTTACCTTTGTTGACCTATGCCTAAGATGTATATTCGAAATGTTTTTATATTTTACATTGGTAACCTCCAGACCTCACACCATTCTTGAATTAACTCATTTTATCCCAAATTCTATTTTATTATATTTTACATTGGTTTTATCTTTTATCTTTTCAGTGGTGCTGACTTTCGTCAATGCTTATGATGTTAAATTATCCACAAGAGTTCAAGATCTTTTTACATACGCTAAAGTGTTGGCTCTCATTCTCATTATTATCACTGGATTCGTTCAACTTGGACGAGGTAGGTAGATAGACGTTAAACTTCGCTAGTTCCCGCTGATTAAAGATACTATATCATTTTACTGTGCATGTCATCACTTTTTATATAAGTATTTGATAAACCCTAACACTGTTATCTTTGAATCCCATTCTGGTAAATAAAATTGCTAAAACCTGGAACATCAACCCATTATATGACTGGTATCAGCTACTGAAATTCATTGCTTGAATGCCGGTTAGTCACATGGCCACCAGCAGATTTTGTCATAGGTCATGAGATGTAATCAGGGAGAGCACTAACCTAGCCCTAAGCCTTACCCTTATAATCCTAACCCACAATCCTCGGCAACAATCACATCTCTTGACCTTAGGGAAATCTGCAGATGGCCATGTAAAATAGATCTAACCCTGAATACCAACACATTTCATAAGGAATTTACATACCTTTTTCATGAAACCCCTTTTACCCCCACCAAAAGTTTAGGAAACCCTTATATAAAGAAACACAGTGCCCTATAACAGGGATTTTAGCCGATCATTTACCGGAAATTGGTGGAAATATTGTCATACAGAAATCTTGATTAATAGATTTTAAAACTGATTATTTTTACTTATTTCAGGTCAATATGAAGCTTTCCTCAACCCCTTCGAACATACAGAACCTGATATCGGTAAAATATCTCTCGCATTCTACTCCGGTCTCTTCGCCTATAACGGATGGTAAGTTACAACTAGCATCAATTTCTGGTTAAATTCCACACGTGCATGTGCAACAATTAAAATTATGAAAAAGTATGTATCTTTCTGCACAGGCCAGGCTAATTAAGACGGTCATATGCTATGCAGTGTGTGCTTTGGCGAAAATCATCAATTTCGGTTAAAATTCTCCAATATGCAAGAATTAAATTGAAATGAAATGGGTTTTCAGAATATATTTGTGCACAGATCATGAAGACGGGCATGTGCCATGCAGTATGCCATGGGGAAAATTTTGAATTAATTTAAATTAATAGAATTAAATGTTGTACACCAACTGGGCTAATGAAGACAGGCATACGCCATGCCGTGCGCTATGAGGGAAGTTGTAAACTCTATTTATATTCCCTGAAAGTAATGTGCAACAATAAAATGTAATAATTTTTTGTCACAGGCAAGGCTAATGCAGACGCGCATACACCATGCATTGGGCTACGAGGGAAATTAACACAATCATTGGATGACTGGTTTTATTTATGTTAGTGCAAGGAAAAAATAGAAGAGAGAGACAGAGACTTTATTTTAATAATTCGCTTGCACGTAGGTGTCTTTAGCAGTGGGAGGATACCGGAGCGGGGGACCTGGAGAAAACTCACAAGGTGGGACAGGCCCCGTGTCATGTATAACCAGGAAATCGAAACCATGGCAGTTGATTCAATGACAGACCTTATGATACAGCGCGCACGCGCTAATCATTCGGCCATCTTCCCCCCCCCCCCCTTAGAAATTGAAGCTATCAAAATAAATACTTCCATTATAAGATGTTGCCTATAATCAGTTCTTAGTGTCCTGTAAATTACTCCCATTTACTACAAAACAATAAAAATGTGATAGTGTTTATGAACTACTTGGATGAATCATCTATTGTGGATGGGATTGTGGTTCATTGTCTGGCAACCAATTTTTTGTTGCGGCGTAAATTGTGGTCTTTTTAAGAGAAATTGAGCAAAGTCATCCGAGTAAACACAGCTTACTAAGCAATTTGTACTTTTTCTAATGCGCACAAACAAATGGAATGCCAGATTTAAACAAATACTTTTAAGATAGAAAACATGTCATACTGCAGTGTTGCAGCTAGTAATGACTCAGCAATTCTGTAAGATACTTAAGAATATGTTTTTGTTTTCAAATTGTTCTATTTCTAATACGCACAAATAAAATGACAACTTTAAACAAATACTTTAAAATAGAAAAGAACATGCAGTGCAGGAAGCAGCTAATAATGACTCAGCGATTCTGTTAGATATTTAACATTACTTATATGTACATTCTATTAGTAAGTACAATGTACAGGAGAACTGCACTACACACAAAACCGATAAGACAAATTTACAGACAAGACAAGCTACACAGATTGCAAGAAATATATAGTTAATATAGTGAATGGATCCATGGGCAGTCGTAACTGTAATAATGCAGGCTTCACTCTTACTGAAACAAAAAATAAAATTATTTACAAAAAAAGACTTAATGCACTCGGTCTTAGACATTCTAAGGAACAGTAGTTTGGGACAGTTTTGGTCTCTCAAGGCAGAATTATATTATTACCTTTCTTTTTTCTAATTGTGTATACATTAGAATGCACGTAAAAGATCCCTTGGCAGTTGGAATTCGATATAAGAGTAGGCGATAGTGCCGCTGCCCGGGCAAAATTTCCCTCATAGCACACTGTATGGCGTATGCCCGTCTTCATTAGCCCAGTTTAGGAGCAGAACAGTAGGACGTTAAACCCCATTTCATTTCATTTCATTTACAACCCTTTGTTACGTGACCGCCGCTATCTTTATTTGCAGTGAACCAAATTGATATAGGCCTGTTTCAAATTCGATTCATTTCATTTCATTTTTTTCTAATTTTCATTTCGGAACTATTTAATGTAAACATCTTCATGTCGACAAGGAACTGAGGTCATCGATATGTACCAAATGCTAAAGGATTTTAAAACTGATTATTTTTATGAACTTATTTTAAGTTGCTAAAAGTTTTAGTTAGTAGGAAATTGTGAAATTCGTATCACGGTTGAGTTGCTAGCAACATTAGTGATATACAATTGGACAATAAAAAATGTTGAAGGTAAAAAAAGCCCCAACAATTGGACCTGAACACTGTATTTCAAGTCTGTTTAGATAAAGCTATATTCTCAATGCATCTTCATAAATGTGAGATGTGGTTGAGTGACCAAATGGTTAACGGGTGCTCATTGCATTATAAGGTCTGTCATTGAGTCAAGTGGCGTGGTTTTGATTCCCCGCTTTGGTTTTCTCCGAATCCTCCGGTTTCCTCCCACTGCTAAAAAAACGATTCACGCAAGCGAATTAACGAAATAAAATTGAACCATGTTAGTCCCGAAATGACCATGTGGACCTTAAACCCTATTTCTTTACAATCTCAGTCTCTTTCTTGCTGGGGGGTTGGATGGCTGAATGGTTAGCGTGCGCGCGCTGTATCATAAAGTCTGTCATTGAGTCGTCTGGCGTGGTTTCGAATCCCCGGTTGTACGTGGCAAGGAGTACGGTCGCCTGTCCAACCTCATGGGTTTTCTCCAGGTCCTCCGGTTTCCTCCCACTGCTAAAGACCCCTACGCGCAAGCGAATTATGTAAATAAAATTAAACCATATGTTAGTACCGAAATGACCTAGTTTGTGTGGAGTGGACGTTAAACCCCATTTCTCTCTCTCTCTCTCTCTTTCTTGCTAATAGTTTATTTTTCCGGCTTGTAGTAGATGTATAGTAGTTATATAATTAGTGTTCAGGTGCAAGTAAATTATTGAAATAAAATTGTATAGTAGGTATATTAGGTAATATATGTGACTATATATAGCTATTATAAGATAAGTATTCACCATATACCTATATTATATAATTTACATGCTACTATAAAAAGATAACTGTTCAGGATATCCCTGTTTTTATATACTATCAACTAGTGGAGGACTGTCATCTTATCTATCTAGTCCTACTTAACAACATGATAACCTTCCACTTCTCACCTATTATAATCAGCTGTTTTTACTACACAGGTAGCAATCACACGTATGTAACCCCCTTTTACAACCATACAACATGAGTCCGAGATCTGTGCAGAAGCCGTTGAGGCTGATCGAACCCATGGTGACTTAACATGATAACCTATGACCTCTCACTATTATAATCAGCTGTTTTTACTACACAGGGGATCACGTGGCTAAGTGGGTAAGACGCTAGCTTGCTAGCCTGGAGGTCGGGTGTTCGATCCCTGCATTGGCCGAGAAAGTTCATCCAGATTTTCCGGCGTGGTTCTCCCTTGTCAGTGATGCAGGACGGAGGGGCTGACAAAGAAAGCTGTCTAGTCGTTCGGATGGGACGAAAAACCGAGGTCCCGTGTACACATTGGCGTGCACGTAAAAGATCCCTTGGCAGTTGGAATTCGATATAAGAGTAGGCCGTAGTGCCGCTGTCCGGGCAAAATGTCCCTCATAGCACACTGTATGGCGTATGCCCGTCTTCATTAGCCCAGGTTAGGAGCAGAACAGTAGGACGTTAAACCCCATTTCATTTCATTTTTACTACACAGGTAGCAGTTACACATGTAAACCCCCTTTTCAACCATACAACATGAGGCCCAGATCTAGCCAAGGCTGTCTATAATAAAAATATGCATAGAAGAGCATACACCTCCCTTCCCAGTACACATGGAACTTGTGTGTTTGGTTCTTTTAAGACTGCAAATCGACCAGTTCTTTTAAGACTGCAAATCGACCAGTCAACTTGACTGACAACACCATTGAACGGGACACCGAAAAATATGGTAATAATTTACGACCTTGTCACCACCTTACTGCTTGTTTTGTCTTACTGTGTATATAAGCCTCTTAAGGTTTCTGTGTCAACAGAATTAGATATGATATTAATGATCCTGTCACCACTGCTTGTAAAAGTATCTTAAACCTCTTAAGACCTATTATTGTGTTGAGTGTTTTTATCCCACCTGTTAATATATCATCTTACATACCATTGTTATTGTTTGTATATCTAGATGTAGATTGATGTTATTTATCTATCATAGGTTAATTGTTTGTAAGTTAATACTTCTCTTATCATATTTATCAGATTTATTATGTTGTTAGTCTTCTTATATCCACATAATATAGATAAACCACAACGCCTTAATTCATACATGTCCAGATAACTTTCCTACATGTATTTACTATCTCCATTTTAACTTGGCTACTCAAAACGGCCCTACTGCTTACCAGTAAATTTTGGTATTGAACCACCCAGAAATGAACTACTTTGTGTCTAGTTGACTCTCTCTCTCTCTCTCTCTCTCTCTCTCATAACTGCTAGACATAGTTGAAGTGATAGTAATGAACAACCCTAGCTGTACACATTTGCATGCATATAAAAAGAATTCGAAAGTAGGCTGTAGCACAGTAAAATTTGCATCATAGTACACTGTATGGCACATATATACCCGTGTTCATTAGCCCTGTCAGTGCCCTCTTCATTAACCCAGTTGGTGCCCTCTTCATTAACCCAGTTGATGTCCTATTCATTAACCCAGTCTGTGCCCTCTTCATTAACCCAGTCCTTGCCCTTTTCATTAACCCAGTTGGTGCCCTCTTCATTAACCTAGTTGGTGCCCTCTTCATTAACCCAGTTGGTGCCCTCTTCATTAACCCAGTTGGTGCCCGTTTTATTAACCCTGTTGGTGCCCTCTTCATTAACCCTGTTGGTGCCCCCTTCATTAACCCTGTTGGTGCCCTCTTCATTAACCCAGTTGGTAAAGATGAATTAAGGGAAATGAGGGATAATCTTTTGACCAAATTATAATAGTATTGATTATTAGAATGTCACCATTATTCTTAACAATAATCAGCATTCTCTGTATTTTTCAGGAATTACCTAAATTTTGTAATTGAAGAATTGAAAGATCCTTACAAGTAAGTAACATGTTTATGTATTATTGATGAATATTAAATGTACTTTATTAATTATTCTTTTGGCCCCCGATCTTGCCTGCACTGTACAGGATTCTTCCACCCATCGACAGGACTTTCAGTAAGGAGTTCATTCGTCACAGTCTTGGATAATTTTATAAATTGTCTAGATTAAACGTCATGTATTTATGCTATCATTAATGACTTCAGCATTTAATAATATCAGTCAGCAAATGCTCATGAAAAAATTATTTTGCTCCGAGTAGGTCAATGTTAAGGGTTCAAAGAACATTCCACAGAAACCACTGGTCTCAGGTCTAACTTTTTCTTAGCACCTGGTGGGAACCAAACTCATGATGGCACTCATTCGCCTCACAGTAAGTATGCTTGTCTATCTGGCAGGCATCGATATTTCCGCGCACATGCGCACGGCGTGCGCAGGCACAATTGCTTTAAAAAAAAAATTTGCAGGCACATTTTTAAAGATGTAGCCACCCCGGCGGCGCCTGCGCACGGCACTATTTTTTACCGCCCAGTACAAAGAAAAAATCGAAGAAAGCCGCCCAGTCGTATTTAAACCCCTTCGTCCTTCTCTGTACACAAACTCGGTGCTCAAAATTTACCACGGCAATTAAACGGCAAAGCCATGGTAAAAGCTGATGTACGCAAACCATGTCTGTCACGGCATAATTTATTTTTGTGTGCCGTAGTAGACCCTATCATCCCAAATTAGTTTAAAGAAAGATGTATTGGTATTTTGTTTATTTATACTTAGAAGATGTGTAGGCCTAGGTATATTCATTTTACAATTATTCTACGGTCTTTATATTTGTTTATTTGCCGTAAATAGGTCACCCAGACCAATTTACGGCACTCCAATGTTACAGGTTTGAATGTCGTAATTGTCCAACACGTGCCTGCAAATTTTCATGATGTTTCTTATTTTATTTCTTACCTGTGTTGACCGTGGATTTGCTACGGCCCGAGAGTAGGACTAGGAGGACGATGAGAGCTTTCTCAGTTTCTGCCTGACCTGATTCTCATTCCGCCGTAATAATAATAATATTCGTGAGACACGTACAACAACTTTACAAACAAGTCAAATAATACAACGTGTTTTAATTATCAATATCTACCTGTTGTCATAATTCGCTGCAGTACTCAAATAAAACACAAACACCGTTTTAAGAATCGTTTTAATTTTTAATCTCAAAGTAATAAAGTAATATTTGAAAAAAAAATCCAACAAAACAACAAATACCGAAAGGTCCTCAACTATCCAGAGAAACAGAGTGGGGTGGGACAATTTTATGCTTGGTCGGGTGGTGTCAAAAAGTTTTTAGATCCCTGTATCATTGATGAAAATTAAGTGAATTTGGTAAAATTTGAATATATAAATGGAAATTTGATTTGCACTGAACCAAATACAAAAGGCAGCAGATGCTCTGAAAATACACCAAGAAGGGTTTATTTTCATAAAAGACCACGCCCCCCTCCCAAAAAATTTTGGGACTCACTCCGCTCGCCAGATATATTTATACACCACTCACCAAATCATGGCTACATCCCTGTGTTTCAGTATGACCCTGCAGGCACATTTTCAAGTGTGTGCGCAGGCACACTCAACTTTTATAGAGCCCTGCTCTCTGGATTGCCCCTTTGCCCAGTAGATATAAGTACTGGAGGTACAGTGCGCCAACACTATAAAGACTACAGAACAAAGTGCATCTGATAGACATTTCTTTTCTTCTTTTTCCCATCTCCCCCCGCCGTTCCCCACCCATCACAGTTTCTCCCCCATCAAAGAAATAGACTCCACATCCTTTTCTTTGGCTTCCACAAAAACACCTGGCCAAGTGTTGAATGTATGTGCATGGTCGTTTATATTAGTAATCAAAGGGGGACAATCCAGAGAGTGATCAGTTTACAGGTCTACACCCTACCACTGACTCTTAAGATTATTTTTAAAGACATTTTTTTTTATTGTGTGAAAATGATAATTAAATGAAGTTTTAATTACTTTTATTGACAGGAATTTGCCAAAAGCTATCTGGATCTCTATCACCATGGTTACAGTAATCTATGTTTTAACTAATGTCGCATATTTTACTACAGTAGAAAGGAAAGAAATCTTAGGTGGTGCTGCTGTCGCTGTCGTAAGTATATTATGCAATAACAACGGTCGGCTGGGATATTTCTTGAAAAGAGAGAGTGAGAGAAATGGGGTTTAACGTCGACTCGACACAAACTTGATCCTTTCAAGACCAGCACATGGTTCAATTTCATTTCAATAATTTGCTTGCATGTTGGGGTCTGTTACCCTGGGAGGTAACCAGAGGACCAGGAGAAAACCCACAAGGTTGGACAGGCGACCTTACTCTTCATGTAATTGCTGGGAATCAAAACCGCACTACTTGACTCAATGACAAACCTTATGATCTTAAACCCACCCGGCAAACCTTGACAGATTCCTTTACTTTACATCTAGCCTCGGCTGTATGACAGTAAGTGATATGTACTTACCTACGTGTAGTCATGGGCAACGCCGTTGGTAATCTGGGAACTTGAAAGTAGTTCCAATGGCGGACATTTCGTCATACAGCCGAGGCTAGATGTAGGGTACTGGAATCTGCTGAGGTTTGCCGAGTGGCTTAAAATCATTCGACCACCCAGCCCCCCACTGTATTTAGGGACAACTGGTCACCCTGCTTATTTTATCTTCTAGACAATAATTATATAGCTAGCATGGATGACCTTGCTGCTGATGGCCTGATTTAAACTTTTGTCCATTTTAAGCAATATTTCTACTGTTTGATAAGTGGAATTATTTTAACATTTTAACATAAGATTTAACTAGAGGTGTAATTTGTATTCCAGATGTTCTCTAAACGACTCTACAGTTTCATGTGGTGGATTATGCCAATCTTTGTAGCTCTCTCTACATTTGGAGGTGTAAATGGTATCCTGTTCACTACATCTAGGTACGTTGTTGTGTTATTGGTCACTTTAACCTGGTTTAGTCCATCTTATAAAGAATGGTGAATCAAGTCCTTAAATCCGATATATCTGAACATTTTAAGAAACAGGGGGGGGTACGCGATTGAACATTCCGGAATTGAATTCTCTCAATCCCAAAAATATTGACAATCTAGTGAAAAGGGGTATTTCAGGCTACAATGCATGCATCTACTGAATAAGAAAATATCTCAACCAACCAGGCACCTGAAACATATTTGTTGTGTTTAATTGCGGACTGACAGCACTTTGACAGGACTGACCCTGTGACACTCGATTGCAATTCTGTCAATTCGGGACGTTCTGGACTGACAATCCAGCATCCCCAAAGATTCCTCTTCTTTTTATTTGGTTCTTAGGTTTAGTCCATTTTACATAAAAGGTTGAATTAAAATTGATTCTCTTTTGATCGATTCTTCCTACTCCCACTTCTTGTCCAATAAAACACTCTGCTGGTAGAATAACCAACTCTAGTTAAAGGGAAGTAACTCTGTTTTTAGACAGGATCCCTTGAAAATATTTATTGCGCAGTTTATATCTAAAAGTATAATATATCTGAAGAAAACCCACAAGGTTAGACAGGCGACATCAACATCCGAGCCACTACTACATTTTGTACAGTCATCAAACCATAGATTATGATCAAACACACTGAACTGCAACACAAATATCTACGATTTCTACGTGAAGCAAAAAACTGGACAAAAATCCGCTATTTTGCATAAAAAAACCCACAAAAATACACACTGTGTAGCGTAATCCAACCCGCACAGTATACCTTGGCACCTATGAATGGGATCCTGTACAAATCATGTCTTAAATCGGTGAAAATTCGCAAAAAGTTACAGAAATTTTACTCAAAACATTGCCAATTGGATTTAGACAATTGCGTCACAAGGTGATTTCCCGTGGAACCACCTTTAGTGCGGTAAATTCACACTGTTAAATACGATATGGAAAATTCCATAGCCATGCAATTTCAGCCTTTGTTTACTCTACGGCGTATGCCGTAGTCATGCACTTATGGGTTAACAAAAGAAATATTTATTACAAATAAATGTATATTTTTATGAAACCCATAAAAGTACACTATATTAAGTAGGGGTTTGTGATATAATTAAAAATATGGTATTAGATATGTTAAATTTTATAAATGAATATTTTTCTTGTAGGTTGTTCTATGTAGGAGGTCGTGAAGGTCACATGCCACAGATTTTAAGTATGGTATCCATACAGAGATTAACACCCATGCCGGCTGTCATGTTTATGGTAGGTCTCATTCCATTCTACATTTATTGACTACCTCATTCTTAAAGACATATGGTTTAATGTGTGCATGTTAGATCATAAGGTCTGTCATTGGCATGGTTTTAATTACCTGCTTGTCCGTGACAAGAACTAGGGTTACCTGTCCAACCTTTAAAGATCTCTATGTGCAAGCGAATTATTGAAATAAAATTGAACCTTTTGTTAGTCCCGAAATGACCCATTTCTCTCTCTGATTAGCCCAGTTGGTTCAGTAAATTTGAATGTTAAAACATTTTATTTCTAAAAGAAAGGGAATTATGTGACATTTGCTAGCACAAAATTCCATCAATCTGGAAATCAATTGATTGAATTAAGGGGCCTACCGTAAACATCCACAGGCTTTCCCACATGTTGTATTATTCTGTTATAATGGGCTGTGTGTTTACATCAAATCTCAATGTCAGCGCACTGAAGAAAACGGTGAATAACCATTCAGTTTATAGAAATAAGGCAAAAATCCAAGGACTTCAGATAGTTATTGAAACAGTTCCAAGTTTATGAGTTTATTCAAATTATTATTGAGATATTGTTTCGTTATTAAGATAAAAACACTTAAAGAGGCACTATGGAAAATTAGATGAGGAACTGACAGTTCTCGCAATGATAGTTAAAAAATAGATAATGAAAACAGAGTATGCTGAAATTTCAGTCAAATTGCTTCACTCTGAACCAAGATATTAGCGATTTAATTTTAGGCTAGCCTTGAACGTCATAACTACCGTTTTTATGATAATAATCAAAGTCTCGGTTATCCATTTTTACATTAAATCATCTGGCATAAAAGGCATTCGAATCCACTAAATATTGCAGGCTAACGATGGCATCTAGAGTTGATTATGGTCTGGATAAGTTAATTAATGTTTAATTAATAGTTTATATAACATTTAAGGCCTAAGTAAAGAACTGCACTAGGCAGATTTAGCTCTTGCATAATGTATGTTTAATATAAACTAATATATAAATAATTCATTCTTCGTCTTTATTTCAGGGTGCTTTGTCCATGATGTATCTGTTTTCATCAGATATTTACGCTTTGATTAATTACGTAGGTTTCGCTACGTGGTTGTCAATCGGCATGTCAATCGTTGCCCTTCTAGTCTTACGTAAAACTCAACCCAATCTAAACAGACCAATCAAGGTAAGATATGTGTCTAGTTATCTCCCCTTTAAATCTCATTTTTCACCTTGTCCATATAATATTGGAAATCGTCTTTTGTTACAAGTTCATCTGGATTTTCTGGCATGGTTCAATAAGAGCCTGACAAGGAAATACATTTAGTCATTTGGATGATGCGAAAACCGAAGTCCCGTGTTCATGATGGCTGGCTGGGACGCAAGAACCCTTGACACTTACAATTTCAAATAAGAGCAAGTCATAGCGCCATTTTCTTGGCAAAATTTCCAGCGTATGTTATATAGTTTTCTATTCTGGCCAATATATATTTACAGGTCCATCTATTCTGTTCTGGAATTATATATTTACAGGTCCATCTATTCTAACTGGTTATATATATATATTTACAGGTCCATCTATTCTAACTGGTTATATATATATATTTACAGGTCCATCTATTCTAACCTATATTATATATTTATATATACAAGTCCATCTTTTTTGACCTATATTTATATTTACAGGTCCATCTATTCTAACCTATATTATATATTTATATATACAAGTCCATCTTTTTTTACCTATATTTATATTTACAGGTCCATCTATTCTGGCCTATATTATACACTCTAGTAACAGTATATTTAGTCGTGCTACCTCTATATGCTAGCCCTGTTGAAACAGGTAGGTCTATTACCCTATTATCTGGTGGGTTTTGAACCACAAACTGGTCCCCAAGCGCTAATCATCCTGTTGTTCTTCTTAGGGGTGACATTCTTAACAAAACCCCTAAAACTGTGAATTTCTTAAGAAAACCCTTAAACTCTGGATTTAAGAAAACGCCTAAAGCTGTGAAGTTAAGTATGATTTGTATGCGTGTTCCTTGGGCAATTGCACATCGATTGACAGATTTTCTAAGATGGCAGCGATAACGTCACGCTTGGTTCCTGCTGATCTGTATAGTACTACCGTACTTGTTACACTTTATCAGTTTTTAGTGTCTGTAAATACTTTCATTACCAACAAAAGAATAAATATGCGACAAACCTTAGCAACTGCTTGGATGTTTTACCTGCTGTGGTCGTATTTTTCTCTTTAAAATATTGTAAATTCTTTCATTACTGACAAAAGAAATAGTATGCAAGAACCCTTGTGGGCTTTTCGGATGACTTACCAGCTGTTGATGTATGTTTTGTTGTCTGGCAACCTATCTTTATGTTGTTTTTTTGTAGGTATTGGTTGTTTAATCATCGCCACTGGTATACCCGTATATATCATATTTATAGCCTGGAAAGATAAACCCAAGTTTATTTACAGATATATGGGTAAGTTAATTACATATATTATGTAAGAGTTAAATCTTGCAGATATATTGCAGATCTTTCTTTAGGTCTGAAATGTTATATAAACTATTAATAAGACATTTATCAATTTGACAAGATCATAATCTACTCTCGTTGTCATCGGATGGATCCGATTTTCAAAATATTTGAATAAATAAATATGATTAAAACTCAAATAGGAAATGAAAAGAAATGGGGTTTAATGTCCTACTGCTGCACTGACTGGGCTAAATCTCAAATATGATTAAAACTAGGAAACGGGTTGGGGAACGACAACATTGGATGTTATATCTGTGTAACTACTGGATCAATTAATGATGATGTCGACGGAGAGGGTAGACAGAAAGAGATATTTAAAAACAAACATAACACAACAGGAGATTTGAAAAATAGGGGGGATCACGGTGCCCAAGTGGGTAAGACGCTGGCTCGCTAGCCTGGAGGTCAGGTGTTCGATTCCTGCATTGGCCGAGAAAATTTATCTAGATTTTCCAGCGTGGTTCCCCCTTGTCAGTCATGCAGGACTGAGGGCCTGACAAGGACAGCTGTCTAGTCATTCGGATGGGACAAAAAACGAGGCCCTGTGTACACATTGGCGTGCACATAAAAGATCCCTTGACAATTGGAATTCGATATAAAAGTAGGCCGTAGTGCTGCTATCCGGGCAAAATTCCCCTCATAGCACACTTTATGGCGTATGCCCGTTTTCATTACCCAGTTCGCAGAAAAACAGTTGGACGTTAAACCCCATTTTATTTTATTTTGAAAAATAGGAGAATTATCGTATATGCCATTGAGAGTCGCCAACCCTGACCATGCATTTCTCGGACAATATTCTCTCGGCTTTGATTTAATTGTATTACAAATAGGCTTGTCAAACGATTTTATGTTGGCTTGTTTGTACCATCTTGATCAGATCTAACTTGTCAGTGGTATGGGATGGAGGGCCTGGCAAGGGATAATGTATAGTCATTTGGATGAGTACTTATTGGCGTGCACGTAAAAGAATCCTTGAGTGTCGGAATTCAGTATAAGATTAGGCTGTAGTGCCGCTGTCGGGGACAAAATTTTCCCCAGAGCAGGCTATATGGCATATGCCCTTCTTCATTAGCCCAGTCGGAACAGAACAGACAGTAGGGCGGTAAATTCTATTTCATTTCATCTCATTTGCTTCCCTTGGATTTCCCAGAGAATATGACATTTTATAGTGTTTACAACAAAATGTGTAAAAAATATTCATCTTTTTTCTTTCAGATGCCATGACCAGAACTCTTCAGAAATTCCTCATGGTGGTTCCAGAAGAAAAGAAAGAAGTTTGAAGATAAGATGAAAGTCTTAAAAAGAATTTTAAAAAAAAAACGGTGAAAAAGAATTAAAAAAAAAAATGGTGGTAATTGACACAAAAAAATACAACTTATAGATATGCTCTGGACATATGGCAGCTGCAAAAATAACTTTCTAAATCAATCAGGCAAATTAATAAACTTAGTCAGGCTTTGCTTGCCAAATGTATGCGTACATTTTTATTTTATTTGAATAACATGATCATTGTAATCAGTTAGAGATAACAACCCAACATGAAGATGCATTTTGTAAAGTCTAGCTCACAGCCCGCCGTTCGTTTTTTGACACACCTGGGTTTAAGTGGTTGGTAACTCGAACGACGAAAAATCTCTACTGCCAGTCTGTGATCTTCTGTGGTGCCGAACACACACAAATGACGTGTAAGTCTCACCCACAGGTTTACTAAAATTTCCCTCGTATACTGCCCGTGGGTTGTGAGCTAGGCTTTGGAGCTAAATCTGCCTTTTGCAGGTCTTTTTCGTGGCTTCAAATGTTATATAAATTATTATTTAGACATTTATTCACATGACAAGTCTATAATCAACTGTCTAGTCATCGGATGGTCGAGATTTAAATGGATTTGAACACCTGCAAGATTTAAAAAGTTTAATGATAAAATGGATAATAGTTTTTCAAGTACCATTGCTACGATAATAAATAACCTACGCTACATCTTCAAACAGTCATAACTTCACCTAGAAAAAAGCATTTTGATTGAAATTTACAATATATTCAAATTGCATTATCTATTATAGCAAGAACGACCAGTTCTTTATCTAAATCTTACATAATGTATCTTTAGATACATATTTAAAATTAAAGGTGCATTTATTTTTCATTTAAATGTATTTTTATGGCTAATTAAGCTTAGTCAGGGTTTGCTTATCAATTTTAGGCTGGCATTTTAAACAATATATTTATTTTATTTTGAAAATGTGATCACTGTTATTGGTTAAAGTAGATGCTAAAATTTAAAATGAAAATTGATTAATTCTTTTTTACGTAAAATGTGTTGCGTTGTTTTAAATAAAAATTTGTTTTAAAATATATCGATAAAGAATACAAATAATGGTTGTGTGGAAATTGGTTCCAATTGCTTTTTATAAATAAATATTTTATTTGTATGTTTTAATTTAGAAGATATGCTGCCAAATTCACTGGGCATTGTTATAAGGAAGAACATATTAAAATTGTATTAAATGTTTTAGAATTCTACATTAAGCTATTTTTGAATTCTTCATTAAGCTATTCTTTGAATGGCATTTAGTAATTGGAACATAATCAAAAACACACTTTTATGGATAACAATTACTATGGTTTATTTCACTGCGACGTTTCAACAAGGTTTCACAAGTCGTTATCAAGCATATACCCTTGTATATATGCTTGATAACGACTTGTGAAACCTTGTTGAAACGTCGCAGTGAAATAAACCATAGTAATTGTTATCCATAAAAGTGTGTTTTTGATCTTCATTAAGCTCTTTAAGAATTCTACATTAACCCTTTAGCATTTCAAGAACTTGAAAATGCCCGAAACTACTTCTCCATGTAGAACCTGAAACTGTCTGAATATGTGAACTCTTAAGGGAATGTTTACAGTTCTTTGACTTAGGGGAGCCACAGTGGCTCAGTGAGTAAGATGTTGGCTTGCTAACCTGGAGATCTTGTGTTCGATCCCTGCATTGACCGGGAAAGTTCTGCATTGGGATTTTCCGGCGTGTTTCCCGTAAGTCAGTGGTGCAGGACAAGACATGATAAGGGACCATGTATAGTCCTTCAGATGGGAAGAAAAACCAAGGTCCTGATACACATCGACCTACACATAAAAACACCCTTGACGCTGCTGTCCGATGAAACTTTCCCTCATAGCACGCTGCATGGTGTATGCCCGTCTTCATTAGCTCAGTCGGAGCAGAACAGTAGGACATTAAACTCCCTTTCATTTCTTTGATTCAGACAATTTAAGCATTCTACAGAGTATTGGGCGGGTTTCAAAAATCAGCTCCAAAAACTCCATGTAAAATAACATCACTTTGCATGACTTAACCCTAATTATTTCAGGGAACCGGGGTAGTTGATATTGATATATGTACCGGGAGCTAAAGGGTTGACTTGGTTTTAAAGCTACACTAATCTAACAGACAGATAGTGTTTAGAAAGATTTATAAGATGGTTGGTCTTACAAGACATAACCACAAACTGGGAGACTTGGATGTAATTCCATTGGTTCTTATTCCTTATAATCCTTTTATACTATTATACGTATCCTAATAACTATATTCTATGCAGAGTCATATATATATATAGAGAGAGAGAAATGGGGTTTAAAGTCAACTCAATACAAACTAGGTCATTTCGGGACAAACATGGTACAATTTGATTTCAAAAATATGCTAGTAATTAGAGGAAACTTGAGGACCTGGAGGTTGGGCGGGCAAGCTTACATGTATGGAATCGTAGCCATTTGACTCAATATGTATATATGGCTCTGCCCAAATGTTGAAATGATTTTGACAAACATTGTTTTTAAACCTAAATTATTTTTTTTAAGGTAAGAGTTTATATTTTGATTTTTGATTTGCGGAGGTTTTCATCTTTTAGTCATCTTGTGTATAGACATTTTCATTTTTGAATCGTTTCATATTTAGAGAGAGATAGGTGGCATCATGACATGGGCAACATTTCATGTCTAAAATTGTGTTCAAATTGTATTATATTCTGTTGTTGGGAGTTATCTCCCTGTATCTTCTAGGTCCTATCCTAGTTAAATGTTCCCTGTTGTAGGTCTAATCTAGATCCTATCCTAGTGGAGTGTTCCCTACTCTGGGTCTGGGTCTAATCTAGATCCTATCTTACTTAAATGTTCCCTGTTCTAGGTCTAATCTAGATCCTATCCTAGTTGGATGTTCTAGGTCTAATCTTACCTAGACCCTATCCTAGTCTGTAGGGATAAACATTAGCACCCTTGTAAATTATTGTAGGACCAGTGCCAAATTTCATTCTACAGAAATAAAACTTTGATATCAATAAGTTTGGTACATGTATCAAGGAATTTATTCATATTCCAGAAATTATTCGTTTTCATTTAGTTTATTACTTATGTTATCTGGCGCTGGTCTTTAAAGGCTTGATCTGTCATTTAGTGCTACAAGAATCCCTTGCAAACTACAATACTGTAAAAGTTTAATCTATAATGGGAATATCAGTCAAAAAATGGTTCAATTAGGTTCAGTATTTACAAAGTTATGATAAATTGAAATTTCATTGATCTATGCTGCTCACTATTAGCTGCCATCTTTTATTGGTAGGGAGAACCTGATGAGTCTGGTTTAAATCGAATTGAATCCAAGTCAGGAGATTATCTAGCGTTTTCTTAATTAAATGTTACAAAATCAATCTGAATACATATTAACGTGAATAAAGTCGTGAGAAATTTGATATTTTAGTGAAAATGCAAATGACACGCCAAGCCTTTAAATAACCTTGTATATTGGCTAGCTTAAAATATGTCATGGTGTAGAAAGTAGTTAATGGTATCGTGATTTATCAGAACTCATTGTAAATATCTCGAAACAGGGGTATGGTCAAGAATTTGTAGGGGTGTGTGCAGAAAAATGATCAAGGGGGGGGGGGGTGCTGTTCCGGTGTGGATAAGTTGATTTCCTTGCATCTGAGGCCATTTCTGAAGGAAATTTACTCTTTTATAAAAATGTATTGGCCCTCTTTTAGGCTCTCTCGCTACTCCCCTTCCCGTCTTGGGATTTTCTGCAGACGTAGAAACATGATTGTTGCACGCCAATGTCTGCTTGCTATAGCCCTCTACCCCAATCATGTATATTGTGGCTTTTGTGTAGAGAAAGGGAGATAACCAGGTTTTGTAAAACTACTTCATCATTAGATAGTTTGTGAGTGTATATTGAGCAACATTTTCGTTGCAAATTTCATCAAATTGTAGGAAATTATGTAAAATAATGATATATGTGGTTTATTGTGAAATAAAAATAGATAATAAAAAAACATATTGTATTGTAATTGCCTCTGAAACACAACTTAAAAAACATATTGTATTGTAATTGCCTCTGAAACACAACTTCTTCAATCCGTCAACACTAGTATTTGAATAAGTGCGCTTTTTTGGAGCGCTTTACTACCTGGCTCGGAGGTCACAAAGCATTCTCAAACTTATAATTAAGAATTTAACAATCCGACAAAACCTTGAAATTTCGAATTCAATTCGACTTTTGCGTATAACGATCAACTTTCGTGCATAAGTCGACTGCTTAAGAAGACCCCTCTGACGCTTACTTCTTCTACTTAGAACACACAATATTACCCGGTGGCACTGGGAGGGACTGCCACCCGTCACCCTAACCCCCTCCCCCGCACGCTCATATAAATATTGTTTTTTGGGAGGCCCGGACGGGATCTTGTTCATCATGCAAAATCAAGGGTCACCACGCCCCTGAGCTGGGAGCTCATTTAGCAGATGACCCAGAAAGCTGCTGACGTCCATTCTGTTTCACCGATATACAACCTGTAGGACTCCCCTCAAATGACATCAATACCCCCGACCCTTCTTTCATCACTTGAGAACGTCCGCTTTACGCCCCTCAGGGATGAGTTCATTACCCCCCCCCCCCCCAGGGATGGGTTCATACAAACCGTTAACAGAGAAGAAAATATTATGCATACTAGAATGCGTCACCAGTGTAGTTTGCTGAACTCAGATGTCCATAAAATTAAATTGATTAGAGTAATTTTGAATATCCAAAAGAAAACGCAAAACATTTACTTTTACAGAATCTAATTTAGGAGCAGACGATTTAATTAGCTTTAAAACAAAAAATTCACTAACCAAGTTAAAATTTTCTAAATAAACAGAATTTTCTAACTTATCAAAATCATGAGCATTAAAGTCCGTTTTACTTAAAACACCAAGTTCAGTTCGTATTTTCTGTATTTTTATTTGAAAGTAATCTGAGAATAAATTCGCGAGTTCAGTGTCATTATCATTGTCCGGGAGAATAGTCCAATCAGCATTATGATTTAAAAGTATTTCCACCCACATTGCAAAAATTTAATCCAAGATTTCCCTTGTATAAATGACAATTTGCATGCATATATGAACCCAAATTTAGAAGGAGCATTTTTTTTTTACCCCTGTCCTTTATTTTCTTTAAGTGTATGAGATGGGGAGAATAAATTCACGTTCAAGTAAGTATTTTCAGATTTAGGTCCCATAGTTTGCATGATCAAAGGTTGTATTTGAGGTTTTATTGTGAAGTTGTTAAGATTTTAAAAAGAACTACAAAATTGGCAACAATTAAACCATACAGAGATGTACAAAAATTTGAAAATGGCAATATTAAACTGAAAACAATAAAACCCAATCATAGTCAAGCACTTAAATCGATAAAGCCAGTATTAGATCAGCAAAATAGTCAATTATTTTAGTACAAATATAAACAACACAAAAAAGTTTTAAACAAAAAAGATTCTACAAACAACCATTGGAAAATGACCACCTTTGTGTTATTTTTCATTTATTCAGCACTACAAAATTAACAAAAACAATAATAACAAATTACAGACTTAAAGATACATTATGGGAGATTAGATAAAGAGCTCACAGTTCTCACTATACTAGTTAAAAACTAAATAATGTAAAGGGAATTTGCTGAAAGTTTCAGTCAAATTGATCCACTCTGAATCGAGATTTTAGCGATTGAATTTTCGGCATAGCCTCAATCATCATTACTAAAGTCGGTACGATAAAAAAACATAGTCTCGATTATCTATTACATTATTAAATCATGAATGGAAGTCGAGCATGCAGTCCGAATAGGGTGTTTTACTAATAAACATCTAAATATACAACGATCTTGGATCATACCAGGATGTAGCCTAAAGGAGCTGTCTTCAGCTGAATATCATCCAGTCTTCGACATTGCAAACACGGCTTATTGGCCAATTTAAAGATACATTATGGGAGATTAGATAACGAGTTGGCAGTTCTCACTATAATAGTTAAAAACTAGGTAAAACTAGGTAACTAGGTAATGCTGAAAATTTCATTCAAATTGATCCACTATGAACCGAGAAATAAGCGATTGAAATTTCCGCCTAGCCTCGATCGTCATTACTAAAGTCAGTACGATAAACAGCATAGTCTCGATTATCCATTTAATCATTAAATCGTGAAGGAAAGTTATGCAGTAAATCGGCTCATAATCCACAAAAGATCTCAGGCTAGCGATGCCATCGAGAGTTGATTATTGTCTGGGTAGGTTAATTAATGTCTAATTAATAATTTAGATAACATTTCACTCGGTTCAGAGTGGAGCAATTTTCGTCATATTCTGTTTGCAATATCTATATTTTAACTATTATAGCCAGAACTGTCAACTCGTTATCTAATCTTCATAATGCCCCTTTAAATTATGGATACGCAGATAATTTTCATCATATAGTCCATATAAATGACGAAAGAATTCACACTTGACTTGGATTTACTGAGATCAACATCACAGCAATTACGTTGTAGCAGTTATCTGGAGTAATTGCACATTCCACGCTGATAAAAAATATTTCGTTTAAATGCAATATTTATTCGTTTAAGCGTAATATTTATTCGTTTAAACGCAATATGAATTTGTTAAAACGAAATTTTAATTCGTTTAATCGAAATATTCATTTATTTGAAAGAAATATTAATTCGTTTGTACGCAATATTAATTCGTTTAAACGCAGTATTAATTCGTTTAAACGCACTGCTAATTCGTTTAAACACAAGACTAATTATTAAAGCTTAAATGCAATACTAATTCGTTTTACCGAAATATTAATTCGTTTTAACAAAATATTAATTCGTTTAAACGCAATATTAATTCGTGGAATTGTGCACGTAAGTGGCTCCGTAGTATATCCGTTAATAATAGTCGGTTTAACTAGGGGAAACAGTTGCCAAAATCGGAACAAAATAGCTCAAACCTTCGTCGTAATTATTCCTGTCGGTGCAGAAAAGTAGGACGTTAAACCCCATTTCCTTTCATTATATTTCATATAGCCCAATTACCATTGAAATCAAACTATTTATCCTAAAACCATGTCCGACGCAATATAGCTCGTTGGAGCTGACGTGCCATGAAACATTTTTAACATCCTACTGTTCTGCTCCCAGTGGGATTACGCCTTTCAGTGTGCTATAAGGGGAATTTTGTCCGGACAGCGGCGCTACGACCTACTCTTATGTCGAATTCTAACAGCCAAGGGATCTTTTACGTGCACGCCAATGTGTACACCGGACCCCGGGTTTTCGTCTCATCCTAGCGACTATACGCTGTCCGTTATCATGCCCTCTGTCCCGGACCACTGAGATATCCCGGTGCGATTCCTCGTCCAACACCGAATCGAACACGGCACCTCCAGGTTAGCGAAACAGAAAAGCCACCGTGACCTCCGGACTACTCGACAATTTTTAAACTAACCCTAACCTCTGTGCTTGTTTGTTACATAGAGTATCCCAATAAATATGTGCCCTAACCCTAACCAAGCCCTAAGCCTAACATAACCCTATTGTGATTACGGATTGCCTGTTTCTCAAAATATATATTTATAATTTATGTAGTTTTTCTTAACTTATATAATTATGTAGTTTTTTGGATTGTATATTATCATTTTGTGTAACATTCTTTATAAAATACACTCATTAGTTTGTGACTTCTTTTCTGTCTCGCAATATCGCTGGGTTGGAGCTGACGTGCCATAAAACATAATTTCATTCATTTGTAACTTTTTATTTATATTTTTCCCTGAAACAGGCATTAGTCTGCTCAGAAGACGTGGTGGGGGGTTTTGGTTTAGGGTGTTTTAAATTATAAGATCTGTCATTGATTCAAGTGGCGTGATTTCGGGTTCTTACTTGTGACAAGAAGTAGGGCCATCCGTTCAACCGCGAAGGTAATCTCCGGGCCCCTCGGTTTCCTTCCACTGCTAAAAATCCTACATACAAGCGAATTATTGAAATAAAATATGTTAGTCCAGAAATGACCTAGTCTGGGTCGAGTGGACGATAAACCCCCATTTCCCTCTCCATTTTCGTTTATATTTTATTTCGTGAAAAAGTCTTTAGACACGAAGTCGTGATCTCCATACAAGATTAATAAAGGGTAAATAAAACGACGCAATAATTTTACAGTTTAGAGTGTTATCTTCGCTCTAGTTCCTGTATATAAAGCCGGGTTTATGTCGCACTTGTGACCAGAACAAAAACTAGTTTTAGCTGGGCTATCTGCATCAGGTGAGGACAAAGAAAACATGATAGGTCGGGACGATTCGGACGACATGACTGCATTTATATTTTTTTTTGCGTGTTTGCAACTAGTCTCAGATTTTAGATAGTCGCACATGTTTCACGGCTGCTTTCAGACATTTCTGTTACACATTCGGTTCTTAGCCAGACACACCATCAGCACACAATAGCAATCAGATTCA